ATGTGTGACCTCTGGGGGAGCACGCTGAGTAATTCGTACAGGTTAGGGAAGAAACGAATTTTTATGTCTTTCAGTCCTCGCCTTAGGCCTTAGGAGAAAGAATTCGTCCCGAACGGGCCGATCCTTAGTATCTGAACGGGCCGATCCTTAGTATCTGAACGGGCCGATCCTTAGTATCTGTGATGAGGAAGGGGGGATGTATCATCCAACATTTTTTTAGTTTACTATAACTATTACGCACTGACTTGTATTGGGAGAAATTAATCCCCTATTTTAATTTTAATTTGGCTCGTTGTAAACAGTGCCTAACAAAGGACGATACCATAGAGTCAACAATATTAAAGATACGACACCCAAAACAGTTTCTAGCCACAATTGATAAGATTTATTAAGTCTTAAGATAATTACAAAAGAACAGAAAATATAATGACAATCTTCAACTTACAGTATGGTAGATCTTGTACCGGTACAACGTTAACACAGTTAGAATAATGTGCCAATGAATAATGATGAAAGCGAAATAAACATGAGTATGAGCACACAAATACACAAAGAATATTACACGTCTCGTAAAGTTAATAATTTCTATCTGAATCTCCGTCTTTTTCCGAGCCTGTCAATCCTTTATATAGGTGGGTCTACCGACGCCTAAGCCCTGCCTACGAGAAGCTACATAGCATTACTAGAACAATCACAATCATTTTACAAAATACTAATAAAGATCAATACTCGGAGGTCGAGATTCCATCTCTAAGGACCTCTGGCCGTGGAGCATCATAGCCTAGTCGTCCCTGGGGACTCCGGCCATGCAACTCGGCCTTGAGTAACTGGGTTTAGGGCAGGTTGCTTCCACTCATGAGGGGACAGTTTTGCGTCACAGCCCCCCCTTGCCCATTGAGTCTTACGGTCGGGACGTAGGGTTGGAACAGCTTTGCTTCCTCTCCGGAGATGACGCTGCGTTGCCACCCCCACCGCCCAGGGAGCCGTGCGTTCCTTGGTGTGGCACGGTTTTCCTTCCACTCCGGGAGTAGTCACAAGTTTAACTTTCTCCCACTGTTCCTAAGAGTTGTGTGGACATGGGTCAAAACGGCTTTACTTCCTCTCCCGGGGGGNGGGTGGCGTTGCGTTACCTCAACCCACCGTTCGGGGGGTGGTTCGGTCGGGACGAAACGGTCGCCTAGGGGCGGCTTTCTCAGGGCCGCGTCTTCTTAATCATTGACAAGGGTTTGGGCGGCCACCCATTCCCTCATACCCATCAACGGCAACAAGTAATCATGTTAGCGCTTAAACTTCCGTTGCGTTGGAAGTCATGCGTTTTGCCTGGGATCTTTTAGCTTCAGAAGGAAAACTCCCCCCTACTAGTCGGGCACGCCACGAAGAGGCAAGATCCCTTGTAACACCACCGAGAGGCTTGTGGTGCTAGGCAAGGATTTTCCAGAGGTCCACCCTTGCCTGCCCGTCTACAAAATACTATTTTGAACAGATTAATTATTTTTAGTGGCTGGCGGCATCAACACGGCAGATCAAAGACTAAGCCACACCCATCTGTGAACACAGCGTCTCATGCGGGGTCAATCAGAGTGCACGCACGAGAAAAATTATGTAAACAAGCTCTATGTAACAATAACATTTTTTCAAATAGTTCTTCAAGTGAAGGATGTTTAGTTTGTGTGGTGTTTCCAGCTTTCTTGATTAGTCGGTTTAGTCGGTTTTGATATCAGACGATGAATTCACACACCAGCAGGTAATATTGAAATTAAGTAGGCTTCCAATTGTTGCACATTTAGAATAAGTCAACGACTTGTTTGTTTACGCCGAAATTGTACAGTTTTTTTTTTCAAGGTAGAACAGTCTTTGGTCGAATTTCTTATACAGCATTTGGCCGTGCTCATGCCATGTTAGCTTATAATTAATGGTGACACCTAAGTACTTATATACCTCCACTTTACCTACACTTTGATTTTTTATGTTGAGATCTGTAATCTGGAGATTCCCCAACCATTTCCTTAGTTTTTGAGACATTCAGCTGGATACCCGGTACATGTCCATCGCACAAATTGAGTAAAGCCAGTAACTAAGTTGCGGTATAAGCCTGCTCCTTCAGATATTAAGCCAACGATGGTGGTATCATCAGCAAATTTTATGATTGGAACGGTGTTGCTTGAGCTTTGAATATCTTTAATATAAATATATTGTATACAGGACATGGGAGAGAACGCAGCCTTGTGGCGCCCTGGTGTTTATTTATCTGGTTAGAGATACTCGGTTATTTACTTTGACATTTTGTGGTCGATTTGGTCAAAAGTTCAGTTTCCAAGCTTTAAAATTTGAATTGACACCTAACGAGGAAAGCTTTTTAATCATAAGGTGTGGTTGGATGGTGTTCCATGCTGAGAAGTCTAAGAAAAGCACTCTGGCATATTTTTAGGTTTGTCTAGATGATGGTAAATTCCATCCAACAATAGTAAGATTGGCATCCTCTGTGCTTCTGGTTAAATTTATAAGCAAATAGCCCTACAGACCGTCCTTTACCCTACCTGCCGGCGTTTCACTTTAAAATTTTTTTTTTTTTTTTACTATATCTACTTATTTAAAATGCTTAAGACTTTCATTGAACTTTTTTATTGACAGTTATTGCAAGTGTTCCATTTAATTTACTCTTCAAGTATATGATGGCAATCTGCAACCTTTCCTAAAAATGTTTTGAGATTTTAATTAAAATATATCAGCTCTACAGGCAAATTTGTTTAAAACATCCATTTCTTAAATTAAGACCCTCCCCCCCCCCCCACCTTACCCTTTTATTAAAATTAGCACTTTTAAAAATATGTTGATATGGCAATCTGCAACCTTTCCTAAAAATGTTTTGAGATTTTAATTAAAATATATCAGCTCTACAGGCAAATTTGTTTAAAACCTCCATTTCTTAAATTAAGACCCCCCCCCCCCCCCCACCTTACCCTTTTATTAAAATTAGCACTTTTAAAAATATGTTGAACTTTTAACCCACAGTCCCAGCAGTACAAAACCTAGCCTCACAGTCCCAGCAGTACAAAACCTAGCCTCACAGTCCCAGCAGTACAAAACCTAGCCTCACAGCCCCAGCAGTACAAAACCTAGCCTCACAGTCCCAGCAGTACAAAACCTAACCTAAAAAGCTTCTAAAATAAATCCTTTATATTCAGTTATATAACTTAACACAGTTTTACAGACAAACCTTAATGATTAGTACTTGACAACAAGGTCAAGGTCATTTCACACAAAAAGGTGATAACATGCATGAATGAAAATTCAAGTTTTATTTTTTTTTTAATCATTAGCTATCGCCTGATTGCTATGACTGATCTGTTATTTAAAAAAAATAAGAAAATTAATTTTAAACTAAATTATATAAGGTACAAATAAACAAGGTCGTAGACTCGTATACATATATATTGTCTTAATATATGCATACTGGTATGCACTATGAATCATGAAAATACAGTTAGTTAACATTTTTGTATATAACTGTTATAGCATTATATTTTTAGAACTTAATGGGGTGCGTTGTTTGTTTGTTTGTTGACACCGGGTCATTCTATCATGAGAAAGTACCAAAGTGAATCCAAATGTTTCACAAAAAAATAGTTAACTTCTCATGTTCTATAATATATGCCGGCTTTTAAAACAACTGGCCTACAGACAGTCCTACACCCTACCTGTCGGCTTTTAAACAACTGGCCTACAGACAGTCCTACACCCTACCTGTCGGCTTTTAAAACAACTGGCCTACAGACAGTCCAACACCCTACCTGTCGGCTTTTAAAACAACTGGCCTACAGACAGTCCTACACCCTACCTGTCGGCTTTTAAACAACTGGCCTACAGACAGTCATACACCCTACCTGCCGGCTTTTAAAACAACTGGCCTACAGACAGTCATACACCCTACCTGCCGGCTTTTAAAACAACTGGCCTACAGACAGTCTTGTACCCGTGGCTCTTCATTGATTAATATAAAAGTCGCAAGTGAAAAAGTTTAACAATTTCACCTTAGTTCAACTGTCACGCATGACACTAGTTATCAATGAAAGCTTTTTTTTTTTTTTTTGTTAGTTGCTTGTTCACTCAGTACTATTGATATAAAACATTTTGAGTAGTGGGAGGGTCGGCTGCGAAAAGGAAGCAGCTACACCAGAAGCAAAATATATATGCAAGAGATATGAATCAAGTTGTAACAGTACAGTGCTTTAGAATTAATAAAAGAAAATTAATACGTAAAAGAAAATGTGATCTCCAATATGGTACAATTTGATGCACATATTTGTCATTGATTAAATATTTCATGTTTTACAATACAGATTATATATTTGAGAAAACAAAATTTTGTAATCACGTAGATATCAATTACATCTACAGAAATCAAAATGTCATGTTCTCATTTTTAGAAAATTTAAAAGTGAAGGATAAAGACATATATTTGAGCGTAGTTTTAAAAGAAAATGTATTATTAAAAATTATTTGTGTAAAGCATTTTTACAATTTAAAAAAAAAATTGTTTGCCCAAAGGAAAATATCCTAGTTGTAGTAAATTTTCAATATAAAAATTCATAGTTTTTAAAATCACTAGAATTTCTTTTCTATTCAACAAATCAAATATTTTATTAAAATTTTTATTTTTGTTCAATTAAAGAATCAATGTTTCATTGATTTTCATAATGTATCTCATCCAATTTTTTTAAAATAATATGATGTACAACTTCATAATGTCAATTTGTAAATAGAAACACATCATTAAGTAAAACAATACAATTTAGAAACATGTTAAAAATATGTAGCAACAAATATTTTAGTGAACATAAGACTCACAATGTATTTATTACATATCGAAACGATTGCTAAAAAATATGTAAGCTGGAATATAAAAAGTAATTTAAGCATCATTGAGAGTAATGTTTCAACATTCTGGATGCAAGACCTGTGACACGTCATTTCCGATTAAAACATGGGTCTTTATTGACCAGAGGCTCTGCATTTTTATCACACCACTGACAAAATGACAAGGCGTTGGTTTGGATGACACGGAGTAATGTTTTGCAGTCACCCTCGGCCGCGTGACTTTCAGTGGGATCTTGGCCGAAAATGCTTTTATAAAGCTGAGGTAAAGAATAAGACTTTTTTCTGTTATTTTTCGCACTGGGTCCCTGAGAGGCACCGACGGTGTATGAATGCTGAGGTGTCTCTGCATCTATTGACCCCAGTTGAGGGACATCTTCTGATAATCTGGCCTTTTTGCTGGGTGATACTGAATGACAAATGTTTGGATCGAGTGTCTCCTTATTGGCCTCGCTGTTTGCTGTTTCCACTACAGCAGTGAATGACCGATTTTTTCTTTTATTGTTGACAAATTCTGGTTTCTTTGGAGGGCCATCTAATCCTTTGAAACCCTTCAAGCTATCTACGCACAAAATGTTTTCAGGAACAGGCTGTTTAGCATTGTTTAGCTCTGAGATGAGGATTGGGAAATCAAACCTGGAATTGAATGAAAGAAAACAAGTCTATATTGAACGTTTAATTCGATTTTGAAAAGAAATATTTTAACCAATTCAAGATAAACGCCCAACAATAATTCCGATGTATTTCCAAGCTTGATCAGATAGTTGCACCGCTTACATGGCGTATTACATTCAGTTGATCTCATTCAAGATTTATGCATTTAAATAATTTCCTTTAATGTATTTGATAATTACTCTAAAAAAATTATCTCATTAGAGCTATTTTAAACTCTCTTATAATGATTCCACTTGCCCATTTCCATTGTGAGCTACAAGACAAGCTGGTTCCGGCAAATTTGTCAAGAATGAGCAGATCAAAGGAGCATGAGATTCAAATGTGCCGTACGCCTCCAGTGCATCATTATTTAATCCTGAAATACATTGTCATATTACAGGAAATTGTATAAATTATGAATAAAAAAATTAAAAAGCGGGGTAACTGAAATAATGAAATGAACCGCAAAGAAATGATCAGTGTTTCATTATGCACTAATTAATACAGTCTTTCAGTATTGAGATAAATGTAAACACAATAAATAACACATAATTTGATTAGATTTCTGCTGTTGGATTTCCTTACAAAGTTTTTTTAATATTTTGTCAATACGCTGTATTTTAAGCATGACTAAAGATTAACAACATTCGAATGGCGTATTAATTTGCTCCTAATAGAATTCATATTGGAAAAAAAATCTTTTAACAAAAATGTTTTGATATTAAAGTTGGAGACGCCAAAGTGCAAATTAGTAACACTTTATCTATTGCAGCTGATGTGACTTTGTTGATAGCAACTGATGTGACTTTGTTGATAGCAACTGATGTGACTTTGTTGATAGCAGCTGATGTGAGTTTGTTGATAGCAACTGATGTGAGTTTGTTGATAGCAACTGATGTGAGTTTGTTGATAGCAGCTGATGTGACTTTGTTAATAGCAACTGATGTGAGTTTGTTGATAGCAGCTGATGTGAGTTTGTTGATAGCAACTGATGTGAGTTTGTTGATAGCAGCTGATGTGAGTTTGTTGATAGCAGCTGATGAGAGTTTGTTGATAGCAACTGATGTGAGTTTCTTGATAGCAACTGATGTGAGTTTCTTGATAGCAACTGATATTAATATCTTGCAATACTGGTATCTTCTATTTGAGTCTGTCCCCTGAGTAGCCTTCCTGAGTATTTCCCCTGAGTGGCCTTGCTGAGTCTGTCCCCTACGTTGGCTTTCCGAGTCTGTCCCCTGAGTAGCCTTTCCAAGTATGTCCCCTGAGTGGCCTTGCCTAGTCTGTCACCCGCGTGGCCTTGCTGAGTCTTTCCTTTGCGTGGCCTTTCCGAGTCTGTCCCGTGCGTGGCTTTGCCGAGTGTGTCCCCTTCGTGGCCTTGCCGAGTGTGTCCCCTTCGTGGCCTTGCCGAGTGTGTCCCCTTCGTGGCCTTGCCGAGTCTGTCCCCTGCGTGGCCTTTCTGAGTCTGTCCCATGCGTGGCCTTGCCGAGTGTGTCCCATGCGTGGCCTTGCCGAGTGTGTCCCGTGCGTGGCCTTGCCGAGTGTGTCCCGTGCGTGGCCTTGCCGAGTGTGTCCCATGCGTGGCCTTGCCGAGTCTGCCCCGTGCGTGGCCTTGCCGAGTCTGTCCCGTGCGTGGCCTTGCCGAGTCTGTCCCATGCGTGGCCTTGCCGAGTCTGTCCCATGCGTGGCCTTGCCGAGTCTGTCCCGTGCGTGGCCTTGCCGAGTCTGTCCCCTGCGTGCCCTTTCCGAGTCATTCCCTTGCGTTTACTTGCCGATGTGTCCCCTAATTGGCATTAGTTCAATTAACTCTTCTTGTTGTACATTGGAGCTCATGTATCTGCAAATGACAGCGACTTGCACAATGTCACGGGAAAATGTCATCCACATCACAAGACACAATGTCATCCACATCACAAGACTTATCACATGCTAGAGAATACCTTCTTGCCGATTTTATGTCTTCAACTTGCTGATTAATCATCTTACGCCCATCCCCATGGCTCTCTCTTCCACAGTTCTTTCTGTCACAGCTCTTTCCGTCAAATCTCTTTCCGTCACAGCTTTTTCTGCCAAATCTCTTTCTGTCACAGCTTTCTGTCACAGCTCTTTCTGGCACATCTCTTTTTATCATATCTTTCTGTCACATCTCATTCTGTCAAATCTCTTTCCGTCACACCTCTTTCTGTCACAGGTTTCTGTCAAATCTCTTTCCGTCACAGCTTTCTGTCACAGCTTTTTGTCACAGCTCTTTCTGTCAAATCTCTTTCCGTCACATCTCATTCTGTCAAATCTCTTTCCGTCACATCTCTTTCTGTCACAGGTTTCTGTCAAATCTCTTTCCGTCACTTCTCTTTCTGTCACAGCTCTTTCCGTCACATCTCTTTCTGTCACAGCATTCTGTCACAGCTCTTTCTGTCAAATCTCTTTCCGTCACATCTCTTTCTGTCACAGCTCTTTCTGTCACAGTTCTTGCTGAAAGTGGAAAGTCTATAGTTTTTGGTCCTCCTCAGTTCACTTTTATTTTGAACATCTCTAAAAGATGCTCACATAAGTTCAGTGAACATTGTTTCAAGTAATTCCCCAACTGAGACACATGAGAAAGCTCCAAGAGTCGCAGGTTCCCGACCCCTTGCCTAACTCATCTTGTCACACTGACAACAGGGCATAGGGCACACAAATCCTTTTGAAGACCTAAACGTTTAAGATAAAAATTGTGCACAGATTAGTTCATTCATTGTGCCCGTACCTGACATTGAAGAAGCTTTAGGGTCTATCTCCTTTTGAGGATTGAAGCACAGAAGAAGCTTGCTGGCAACACGGGACGGTTTTGACGCGTCCAGAAGTCCGTCCCTGGGCAAAGCGATGAAACTCAGCTCAGTAATTCTCGGGTTGTTATTTGATTTCCGAAATCCAGTTGTCTCTAAGTCAAATATCACGAAGGTCTGCACGGTTGGACTCATGCCTTCAGTTTCAGACATCGTGTTTCAAGCAGACTAAATTGATTGATCCGCCAAATTAAATCTGAAAAGAGTTCTAATTTTTTTTAAAATAAATTGGTAATCTCCACCCCCCCCCCCTTTTTCCCCCACAGCTAAGATCTACTTTCGATCACAAATTTTTATTCATTGTAGACATCGTGTTTCAAGCAGACTAAATTGATTGATCCGCCAAATTAAATCTGAAAAGAGTTCTAATTTTTTTTAAAATAAATTGGTAATCTCCACCCCCCCCCTTTTTCCCCCACAGCTAAGATCTACTTTCGATCACAAATTTTTATTCATTGAAAACTATGGATACTGGTAATTCATAGATGAAACATGCCAGCCTGAACAGATTGATCCGTACTTTGTATAGCTTGTATACTTTGCCGAGGTCTACGGCCAGGGCTTTTGTACGGGTTTTCACTATGGCCTTAGAAAACATAGAACATTTTTTTTTTTACGCTAGAAATGCGTTTAAAATTTGGCGTTGCAAAAACTTCGATATTGTACTCACCAGCCATCGAAAGTAATAAACTGAACCCGGTTTCATTGACACCATCCGGTAACTGGCTCAATTCTACACAGTATATTCAGTATTTTTATTCTGACCGGGTTAAAAATTAAAGAGCAGGTGAAAAGAGGAGCGAAGTTGATAGAAGAAAAAAAAGCGAGCTGTAATTTTCATTTAAGGGGATAATCATCCAATGGTTAAATGGGAGAGATCGTTTCCTGTGATGACGCGAGATGACTTGAAATAACAAGCTCAGTGGAGGCCTATGTGACATCTGGAGTAACATAGGCATATGTGACATATGGAGTAACATAGACCTATGTGACATCTGGAGTAACATAGACCTATGTGACATCTGGAGTAATATAGGCCTACACTACTAGAAGCCGCCATTTATTAAGATTAAACTAACTAAATTGTAAGTACATAATATTATAAAACTAATACAGATAATATTTTAATGATAAGTTATCAATGAGTTACCAATGAGTTATCATTGGCAACGAGTCTATGTGCCACGTTTCAGCTCGATAGGATGACAGGCAGTGGGTCAATTAACCTTCCGAAAACATTGCCACGAACCAAAGTGAAGTAATTATAAATGAAATTTAATATAAAAAAAAGTAGCCAGTATTGACAAACCGCTTTTCGAGCTATCCGCCCCTGACGATTATATAACCCAGCGTCACAACTTACTTCATGCACCCGGGCACTGTAGGCCGGGCACTGTAGGCTTGTAATAGTAGGACTACTTATACTTAAAACTAAAATACTTTTTGTGACGCTCGACGTATCAGCCCCCGTTAAAAAAAAATAATTAAATACTGAAGACGTTTAAACCAAATGAACTACCGTAGTGAAACAGTTTTAGAGTCGTTTAAATCAAGTGTGTGGTTTTTTTTTAAAAATCGCTATAATACTAACACTTGAAAAAAATTCATAGCACTTCTCTGTGTAGGTTGGCGCAATACGAAATGTAGTTATTCGCAAAAATGAATTCTTGTATTGTTAATTAATTTTTTTTTTAAATTCGTGGAGGGGCTCGATAAGCCCCACCCAGTTTTCGTTCTGGTACGATTTAATGTCTATGACGGGGACAGGGACAGTGCTATTTCACGTTTCGTCATTTCACCGCTTAACAGCGCCAATGTATATAGTGTTTTATTGTTGCAGTGTTTGATAGTGTTTTATTGTTGCAGTGTTTGATAGTGTTTTATTGTTGCAGTGTTTGATAGTGTTTTATTGATGCAGTGTTTGATAGTGTTTTATTGATGCAGTGTTTGATAGTGTTTTATTGATGCAGTGTTTGATAGTGTTTTATTGATGCAGTGTTTGATAGTGTTTTATTGTTGCAGTGTTTGATAGTGTTTTATTGATGCAGTGTTTGATAGTGTTTTATTGATGCAGTGTTTGATAGTGTTTTATTGTTGCAGTGTTTGATAGTGTTTTATTGATGCAGTGTTTGATAGTGTTTTATTAATGCATTGTTTGATAGTGTTTTATTGATGCAGTGTTTGATAGTGTTTTATTGATGCAATGTTTGATAGTGTTTTATTGATGCAGTGTTTGATAGTGTTTTATTAATGCAGTGTTTGATAGTGTTTTATTGATGCAGTGTTTGATAGTGTTTTATTGATGCAGTGTTTGATAGTGTTTTATTAATGCATTGTTTGATAGTGTTTTATTGATGCAGTGTTTGATAGTGTTTTATTGTTGCAGTGTTTGATAGTGTTTTATTGATGCAGTGTTTGATAGTGTTTTATTGATGCAGTGTTTGATAGTGTTTTATTGTTGCAGTGTTTGATAGTGTTTTATTAATGCATTGTTTGATAGTGTTTTATTGATGCAGTGTTTGATAGTGTTTTATTGATGCAATGTTTGATAGTGTTTTATTGATGCAGTGTTTGATAGTGTTTTATTAATGCAGTGTTTGATAGTGTTTTATTGATGCAGTGTTTGATAGTGTTTTATTGTTGCAGTGTTTGATAGTGTTTTATTGTTGCAGTGTTTGATAGTGTTTTATTGATGCAGTGTTTGATAGTGTTTTATTGATGCAGTGTTTGATAGTGTTTTATTGTTGCAGTGTTTGATAGTGTTTTATTAATGCATTGTTTGATAGTGTTTTATTGATGCAGTGTTTGATAGTGTTTTATTGATGCAATGTTTGATAGTGTTTTATTGATGCAGTGTTTGATAGTGTTTTATTAATGCATTGTTTGATAGTGTTTTATTAATGCATTGTTTGATAGTGTTTTATTGATGCAGTGTTTGATAGTGTTTTATTAATGCATTGTTTGATAGTGTTTTATTAATGCAGTGTTTGATAGTGTTTTATTAATGCATTGTTTGATAGTGTTTTATTGTTGCAGTGTTTGATAGTGTTTTATTAATGCATTGTTTGATAGTGTTTTATTGATGCAGTGTTTGATAGTGTTTTATTAATGCAGTGTTTGATAGTGTTTTATTAATGCAGTGTTTGATAGTGTTTTATTAATGCAGTGTTTGATAGTGTTTTATTAATGCATTGAGAAGCAGATAAAAATGATGAAATCGAAATAGTTATAAATTTTACCTTTTTCCAGGTTTCATTTTTTACCCTACAGTTTTCCATGCTGTTGTACAGTTGTGTGTGTGTGTGTGTGTGTGTGTGTTTGTGTGGAATTTTTGTAAAGTTTTTGATATAATCTAATACAATATTATTATAACCTAATTTAAAAGTTGATTGCCTGAAAGAAACAGGGGGGAGGGGTGGGAAACTTGGGTATAATTACCAATGCCCAATGTTCCCTTTAAGCCGCGCGGCCGCGCAGCTATCTCACAGACCCCGCGCAGCAGTTTTGAGTATCCGCGCAGCAAATTTCCATGCAAGTGTGAGTTTGTATTTGTGGGCTGTGAAATTTGGCACATAAAAAAAAAAATCGATGCTGTGAAACTTTGCACACAACTGTATGATTTTGCACACGCACCAGCAAACCTTAGAGGGAACATTGCCTATGCCCGCTGACAATCACAATGAAAGATTTTTTTTTTAAGTGGGTGGTCACTTTAACTTCTTCTTGTTTGCTTTTTTTTTCAACTCCCGGAGCAGCATAGGCTACCCAATTAATAAAATATGGCTGACCTGATTTCTTTCCCAACCCAAGCCTTCTCTTCTCCAGCTATCGTCTCTACATTTCCACTATGACTTACCTTCTTTGTCCTCTTAATCAAGAAACAGAATTTAGCTGTAAAAAAACAACAAACAAACAAACAAACAAACAATCACTACAATCTACTAATCTACTCTACTGAGTGATGGTGATACTACTTTTAAATTTTTTAAATTTTTTTTTTAAATGGCACATTACCTCAGTCTCTTTACTAACGGTACTTTAACGTGTACAAACTAAACTGTATGTTATAGATCCTAGTCATATCAACTTTTATTTATACTTGTTTATAATGAGGCAACGGTGTGTTTCTTTTTAGAAGTAGAATACCGGGTAATTTGCTGGTTAGGCCGAAGAAGGTAACATCCTAAGACAGCGGTTCTCCACCTGTGGGTCACGACCCCTTTGGGGGTCGCACGACCATTTCAAAAGGGTCGCCTAAGAGTGCCTAAGACCATCGGAAAACACATATACTCTAAAGTTATATGGCATCAACGATAGTAATTTTGTGGCTGGGGGTGGCTACAACATGAGAAACTGTATTAAAGGGTCGCGGCAGTACGAAGGTTGAGAACCACTGTCTTAGAGTTAAGATTAGCTTAAGACCGGTTTAGGTCCAACAACGTGTTCACCCATTCATCGAAATAATAATATACACACACACAAAAGAAAAAAGACAGGAATGCGAATGTCACAATAGTGAAACTGAAAATGCAAAACCTAATCTTCAACGTCCTCTTTCCATTTCGAGCTACGAAGTTGTGACATTGTGTCTCACTTTCTGACCACTGGGGAAGGGGAATAAATAATTTACTCTGCCCTCTGTGCAGAGGCGTAGCTAGTGTAGTGTTCGGCGCCCGGGGGACAAGATTCATTTTTAAGAGATTCCCTTTCTTTTCTTTTTTTTTTTTTTTCAAAACTCTCAAACGCATTATTTTCATCACTAAAATAATATCAAAGCACATTTTTAGCGCCCGTAACTAGTCTGGCGCCCCTAATTGGTCTGGCGCCCAGGGACCCTCTGCCCTCCTTTTTGCCAGGCCTCTGCCTCTATGCTAAACGAGATTGCCCACCTGACTTTTAAGGGATAATATAGGGGGCCATCCATAAATGACGTTTCGCGTCGGGGGGGGGGGGGGGGGGGG